GCGAAAAGATGGTCCTTCACTGCTGCAGTGATTCCGGCCTTCTCCGTGGATGAAATCTAAAAAAAAAATTCTCCACCAGATAATATATCTTTACAATGATCTACGATAAAAAAAATCAAAAATTGATAATATGGAGCGTCAATAGTGTTTTAACAAAATAGTCGAATTTTACCCAAAATTTTGATCGTTTTTGGCCTGCCAAAATTGGATTTTTTGATCAGATCAAATATCGATAGGTCATTGTACGGAAAACTATATATTATATATAGAACATGTAAAAAAAATTCAATAGTGATCTGATCATTTGTTTTTGAGAAATCACTGCAGCAAATTCCGAAAATGCTGTTTCGAGAAAAAACCCGTTTAAAGATAAAATTATCGTTTTCACTCGTAGCTAATGAGACCCTCTAGCTGCCGAGCGGCTGCTCTTTAAATTGCTATAACTCAAAAACTCTTTGAGATTTCGATTTGAATCCACCGAAATAGGAAAAAAGATCGATTTTTTAAAATTTCACACTAGGTGTGCCCCATAAGCCAGCTGTTCTTATGTCGATTGGTTGTTTGAACAACAAGCTGAGAACGCCGTATTTTCGAGCAAAATTTTCTTCAGCGACGAGGCACATTTTTCTCTCGGGGAAACGTAAATAAGCCAAATCCGAGAATCCTCAGTTAATTGAAGAGAAGTATATACGATAAAAGCGTACTGTTTGATACGCTCTTTGGCCCGGAGAAAACGACAACAGCGACAATAATGACTAGATACGAAACTTTCTCTGATGTGTAAGTATACTGGGATATACTGATGTGTAACATGCATCAGTACCACTTTATCCATAAGAAAATTCATTGTTTTTGTTATTATTATTACAGAAAATTTTTAAAATTAATGCTCAAACATAATATAATTATAAAACATATATTAATAATAATATAATTAATATTCGATTATTTCTCGATAAAATATTGTAGTGAAATTGCAGTTATTCGTAATAAAATACCCAAAATTTCTCCAAAGATACAAAGAAGTCATTTTCAAACATAGTGACAAATATAGTGAAAATAAAGAATTTCGTATCTAGTTATCTTTGACGGCGAGACTGGCATTGTGAATACTGAGCATTCGCATAATAGCCGACCAAACACGAGCGAATATGACTTTGTGGCGAGAACAATTTTGCGGCCTCTCGTCTTGGCGAAGTTAATTGGCCAACGATCGTACTATTCGACATCATTGGACTTTTTTTATGGGGTTACGTGAAATACGGCGTTTTTGCGCAGAACCCTTTAACTCTTGAGCACTTGAATAGCAACACTCGTCAAGTTATTGCTGAGTTGCCGGCTAATATGTACCAAAAAAATATTACGGGTTAATTTTTGGAAAAACTCGCGAAGCGGTTATGTGATTTATGTAGAGTTTCACAGATTTATAATGCCAAGGTTCAAACTTTTTAATAAAAGAGAAACTTAATGTAAAAAATATGATTTTATATGCATTTTAATATTTTTGAAATCGCAAAATATATAACGCTGTATTATTTTATTGCTTTCTTTTTGTTTTATTCTATTTTCTTTTATTCTATTTCCTTCTTTTATTTTAAATAAATTCATTTTTTTTTTTTACTTTACTTGATTTTTTTTTTTAATTTAATTTTATATCATTTTTTATTTATTTTCATTTAATTTATTTTATTTTCTCTGTTTTAGATTTGATTTTATATTTTTTATTTATGGTTTTATAATTAATTTGAGATATATTTTTAATTTTTTTTAATTTAAATTAAATAATTTTTTTAGTTTTAATTTATTTTATTGCATTTTTTTCTATACTCTTAATTTCATTTAATATTATTTTACTTTCATATTTAACGTAAATGTTTGTGGTTACGTGTAATGTGTTACCCAATCAAACTTGACATAGTTACATATCATTATTAGAAGCTTTCCATCGATGATGGTTTTTAATATGATCCATTAAGCAAGAAGATTACCACTATTTTATACCAACAAGCGAGTGCATGCATTTCACAGTAATTCCAGTAGATTGTACATAGAAATATAAGTCAACAAGTCAATCAAAAAAGTTAAATGATTTATTACAACGACAGAATTTCAACAAATTATTATCAATAATGAATTTGTGTTCATAACATCATTTTATTTATCGTCTAATCAATTAACTAAATAGTTAATGAATGTGATTACTCTGTCCAAGACTGTTATACCCTCAAAGACATTTGCACCAGCAACAGCACAACGACGATTTGTTGTGTGTTAATTTATTTTGACAAAAATTAATCACTTCACATCTTTGTGAAACGCTTGAAGGTGTAAATCGAAGCTAACGCAATATACCGTTAAATTTACATATTTCGATTATTATCATACGTACAAGTCGCTTGCTTATAGAAAAACTCGCTGTCTTTGTATTTTGAGACAACCACGCAATATTTGGCCTAAACAAATCACAATGAATGAAAATTGTCGTGAGAAAGTTGAAAACTTGTTTTGAAGTTTCAATATAGAAATGAAAAGAGACTTATGGTGTTTCATACTGACTGTTGCTGCTGCTTTTGACATGGGTTCGCAATTGTTTGAAAATTAATTAAGTGACACCGTTGCATCGCTTAACATTAATAATGGATAGGATATGGTAACTTGAGTAACAGGTTTCCAGCAGATGTTAAGAATATGAAGCCGCCTTGCAATAAAACTAACTAAAATCAATCAAAGTAAAATAAAATAAAATAAAATAAAATAAAATAAAATAAAATAAAATAAAATAGATTAGAACAAAGTAAAATAAAATAAAATAAATTAATATGAATATACATAATTGAATAAAAATAAAGATAAATTATATTAAATTTAAATAAAAAAAATAAGAAGAAAAAATTATATATAAAAATAAGTAAAGTAAAATGAAATGAAATACAATAAAATCATGTCGAATAGAATAAGTTAAAAAACAATAAATATATTGAAATGGAATAGGCAAATAATAAGAGTTTAAATAAAAGTCAGTACGTTTAGAGTACGGGTATTTCATTACTAAACTAAGCTAAGTTTTCACCTTGTTCATTTTCTTTCCAAAATAAGCTCGTATATTACAAAGGAAAGGATTTTTCATATATTCATTTATGCATGCATTTTTTTTATATCGAAATTGAAAAAGAACAAGTCACTTACTAAACAACTGAGATAAGACATATTTGTCATCAAATCTTCTTAGCACATCATATGACTTTATGTCACTCAGACCACATCACGTCATACGATAGATGACTTGACGAATTTACTGTGATGCGATTGCCTTATATGTATATACATGCACGTGTAGATCATTTACACTTGCAAATGCGTTACAAACACATACACGCACCATTTATATTCATGCTAGTAAAAGTCTTTGCATACCTTTAGGCATACAAATTTTCAAAACTGATTGATTTGTAATAATTTTCCCTAAAACTGTGTTATATATGTATTTGCTATTAAGCACTAATACATACATATATATACTCGTATGTGCAATATATAGCAATATTACGAAATAAAATATGTGATTGATGCAGATGTCATTCCTTTAAAAATAAATGTCACATGAAAATCAATATAAAAAATAATTCTGTTTTACACTCTGCGTTATCAACACTTCAATGAAAAGTAAGGCCATAAAAATAGACGCGCCTAGGTACATATATATTTATATGTATATTGTATAAATGCCATTAACACACTTTCTCATGCACTAACTCCCGGTGCCAATATGTATTTATGTGAATTTTGAGTACTACATTTAACTAAAATACAATATAATTTTAGTATTCTTTAAAATATGAGAGTGTCTCTTTACAAATACCGACTGAAGGCCCGACACTCGTAAATAAAGTGCGATTCAGCGTTCCGTTAGTTTCAAAATTAAGTTCCAAATGCTCCAGGACCGTAAGTATTCTCACACGTCTTACTGCTTTAGACTAAGGTCTTTCAGAGCGGTAGTAATACCTTGGCGCGGTTTCAGAAGAGTTCTGGAGACTGTGCCTGCCTCGCTTCTAGACCCATGAGCAGAGATATGGTTCGGTTGTCTAGATATGACGATGGATATGCAACAGTGGAGTGGAAGCAGGTTGCTTTCCTCGCAACGTTATGATAGAACACTACTTAGATGGGGTGTGTTAGATACCATGACTTTAGAAGGAAGCATAAACAAAAGAAAGAGGTCGAGCTGAGTGAGTTTGTGGAGCTTGAGAAGTTACCCCACCCAGCTAATGCTTGAATATTTTATGAAAAGATATGGCGACTCACTGAAGGCTTTAAAACCGGCGCATACTCAGGTAGGAACCAACGAGGTAATAGATGATGAAGGCAAAGATGTTCCATTACCCGACACTGACAATGTTCGAATAGTGATTGTTCGCTTCTTGAACAGCAAAGTGACTGGGTCGATGGTTTAATCGGCAGAGATAGTCAAGCGTGACGTTGAAGAGCTGACACGTTGCATGCGTCAACTTTTTTACAGAATATGGCAGACGGAGGTATTCCCGATTATTGAGTTCTAAGTGCACTCTTCGAAATCCATCCGTGTGGTTAGCCTCCTAAATGTCGCATATAAGGTATTATCGAGCGTATTGTGGCTGCAGAAAGCACACAGTCAACAAGCGGTTAGGAGCTAAACAGTCTGGCTTTAGACCTTGCTTCAATGGATATTTCCAATTGGCTCCAAACAGCGAAGAGAAGGAGCATATAGCACGCTATGGTAGATTCTTGCAGTTTTCACTCTGATAGTCGTCGAGCGCAAAGCTGCTCTAGATTTGGTTTGGCATAATGGATAAGCGGTGCCTACGCCAATGAAGAAAAAATAGAAGAATATCTTAAGAAATAAACATTATATAACTTTTTTCGCAATAACAAATATTTAGAATTTGTGCTTACCCGGGTAATTATTTCACATGAAAATATACAAATTTGTTAATTTTTATTTAATTATTTTATTTATTTTGACTAGGACATTGATTTTACACATATAAATAACACAAATACATAAACGCACAGACATAATTGCTCAACAACCATATTGCATTATATGTAACAATGAGATACGATCATACTTAAATTTAATTAAAAATACATACATACATAAATACATCGATATACATACATAGTGTATGTAGGAAAAATATATAAAATATTATTATTAAAATCGTTTTTATGACACTTTGATTTCTTATTTGTTTTTGTGATTTTTAAAGCAATAACAATTTTATTATTATTATTTTCATTATTATTATTATTATTATTATTATTATTATTATTATTATTATTATTATTATTATTGTATTTTTCACTGCCATTTTATCGCAGTTACAGTTATATGGCCAAGCACAGCATAGTTTAACAATTATAAACATTGAATTTATACTTAAAAGACTATGATATTCACTTAGGTTAGGATTTCAACACATCAAAGGAATTTAGAAACCAAAAGCACAAGGAGCAAGCTGCCCACGGAAAGCTGCAGAGGATTACCGCCACCCGCCGCACTCTTCTCTTCGGGTAGCACCACAATCACTGGACGATTATTCACCTTTTGTAAATCCCGATAGTTGTTCTTTAGTGTACGTTTCTCCTCGCACTGAACCTCTTTGAAGCTGTCAATCTAAAAAAAAAAACCGGAACAAAAATATATTTAATATACACGTATTTACATACAAACATATGTATATTATTCTAATGTAAGGGCAAAATCTGTCACTGGATGGTGTTGATACTCATTTTTCGAGTAGAACTTATCCGATTGTGTGTTTCACAGAGCAACACTTTTCGCAAGTACAGTAAATCCTCATTCGTGTAAAAAATTCCCGAAGAAATTTATGAGGTGATCCTTTTTACTATAAAATATTGAAAGCGCTACAAAAACGTGCCAAAAAGCTTGACCAGTTTACGGAGAGAATCCTCTAAGTGAAAACCGAACTCAGTGGTTGTTTTGCTCGATTTCCTACCGGAAATTTTTATGTCGAAGATTCAACTCTTTTTATTCAGTCAGGCGCTCAAAATATCTATGAAATTGTTTATTATATCGCGAGCATTTGGCATCAGTCTCGAATCTTTTAAAAAAACATTTACCGAATTACCGTCAGTGAAATGCTTCTGAAACGCAACAACATCAAACCATTTCTGAAGCACCACAGGCAATAAAAAATCATGGTCAAAGGCCTGTTACACACTACAAACGACTACCAAGCCTATATTGACAGTAAAAAATAGAATCTATATCAGCTGCTACAACCTGACTACAACGGTCAATTCTGAGCTCCATTGTCAACAATTAACAAACTTGGAACAAATCTTCGAAAGAGATGTTCAGAAGTGACCAATAGAAAACGTGTTGTCATGACAACGCCAGACCATCTTACATCCGTTAAGAAGTTTTGGTACAACCACCATAAGACTAGGGTCTTTGCACTATTTGTTTCGGCCTTTGCACAACAACCACAAGCGAATGTGTCCTCAAATAGACACTGATTGGTGTAATTTCTTCAAAAATGTATTGTAGTCGGCCATAATGTTACATTGGGGATGACGTGGACGACCTCTGCTTTTAACTGCAAATCTAATGAGATGTTAGTGAACAGCAAGAGCTGGGCGAACGACTTCACAAGAATATTAAGACGATTGTTTAACATCGACCCTAACTTAACGTTCTGTAAAAAAAAAAAAGAAGGCGTTTTCGTGTTCAACACACCCGAGACATAAAAATTACTGAAGAAACCCATAAGAGCTTGGAACATTTCCATTTTTAGCAGATTTTTGTAATTTAAGCTAAAATCGCGCCACTCACCTGCTTCAACGTTACCGGGAAAGTTTCGCTCAACACAATCCAAGTCACCGCCTCAGCGCAGGACGGTGTGGTCAGCGAACCAGCGTAGGTCATATAGCCATTGAGTTTGGGGAACAGCTCACGCACCACAAATGGATTTTTCATACGCACCGGCTGATTGAGCTTATCGAATTCCTTTACTTCTTCCAAATAATCAATAATCTGATCGATGGCTTTATTGCGCTCATTGGACACATGATAAAGTACCGCTATAACGGTTAATCCATCCTTGAAGTTTGACGCCATTGTTACATTAGCATAACGTTTGTTGCGACCCACTATATGCGCCTCAAGCGGGTAGCGTACACTATTGATCGTGTGTTCGGACCACCAATGCAGATGAATTTGCTCGACAACGTAATCGTCCAAGAGCGGACCACCCTCCACCTCCATTTCGTTGTTAAAGTTAGCCAATTGTACTGTACGTTGAAGGAAATATGAAAATTAAAAAATAATTTCGATTAGTTCATTTTACAGTAATGAGAAAAATATTTGCATGTTTTTTTTATGAAATATTTAATATATGAAGATGTTCTTCAACTTACTGGAATGTCCGTTATTGACGATCGTGACTCCAGTTTGCTTGTCATTGAAATTATCTAGCTTGAGTTCGTCGAACACACCCTTTAGGGACTTGGATACGCTCAAATCGATTGGACTTTGACGGGTGCCAGTATCACAGATGCCGCCCCAGTTGGGAAACGCTGCAATAAAATAAATATTTTTCAATATATGAAGAATTACATTCCATTATATATCATGTTTTACAAAATAGTTTCATAGTCAATTTTCTTGATTTTGAGACGTAGTTAAGCTCCGATGTATTTTCAGTCCCTTCAGCTCCTAACCAAACAGCTAAAACCTGATAAAGTGAGAATTGAGGTATGAAAACAACATCAGCGGATCTGCAGGCAAGTTTACGTTTCTGGTGTAGGCAGCGTAGAACTTGTCTTTCGTCATCCTTCTTAGACGAGGCATCGGTGAAAAAGCCATACTTTATGTGGATTCTTGCTGGACAGAGGCTTTCTACTCTATCAGTACGCTTGCTTTCAGAGAGCACTCATCAGCAACTCAATAAGAGGTAAGGTCAGTAAATATAGTTTTCCACAATATCGGTCGTTTAGTGATATCACGTAGAGAGAATATAGAGCGCCAACTCGCAGTGTTGCGGTCTACTAAAACACATGCTGGGTAGGATAGATACCGAGAACTATTTAGGTATGACGCAAAACGCATTTGCAGACAATAATTATTGGTCGGCCCTGACTTTCTGGGCAACTGAATAGTAAATACGTCTCTCAATGTACAAAAATCAAACTCTGCAAGTCGCTCATCATTCCTGTTCTGCTATACAGCCTGAGCCAAAGGCTTGAACGATGTCGAATACTCCACACCATTGAACTAAAAGCTGTATGGGTTCAACAAATTGATGGCTAGGTAATATCGTTCGAATGGATGAAAGTATACGATTCAATACCTCTACTTGAAGCAAAGAAGTGGAAAACCTCCACTCCTTTGGAAAGTGTCCCACCTAAGTAAGTGGAGAAAAAGAAGTGGATTAGATGTTTTTTAACAAACTATAATTCAACTGCAAAACCCTACCCACCTGGTTACCTGTTGATCTAAATGGCGTTAGATCGCCAAAAGGATGACAGCCCTTAGCCGGGTTTTAATCCGGATCACTCCTCATGCGATCGCAATTGCTGCAAAACTCCAGGGCCGCAACCAAACTACTCAAAGCGCTCGCCGGCAGCACGTGGAGTAAAGCCAACGAAACCTTTGTGGCAGCCTACAAAGCAATTTGCCGTCTGATCGTTAACTATACAGCACCGGTCTGGGTACCGGGGACGAACTAGACACAGTTGAAGAAGCTACAGCCTTGCCAAAACATCACCCTTAGTACCGCGGCAGTGAACCTTCTGGTGACGACTGAGCATCATTTGCTTAAAGAAGCATCTACGCTACGAATAAAGGAGCATAATGCTTTGCTATGCTAGCAATTCCCGCAGGAAGCACCCCAATAGGAATCGTATGGAGGCTGAAGCTCCACACGGGCGCATCAGAAAGGGAGTGCTCGATTTAAAGGAAACATTTAGCAGATCCCTCTCCCTCTGATCTGAACCCGCCGAAACTCGTATCCTGTACCTCCCGTTAGATTACTTAGAGTAACTAGCCTGGCCCTAAGCGAGGTAATTAAGCCACTACAACAACAACCAACCACGTTTTAAGGCGTTATTATCCATAGTACTAGTGTTGCGTGTCGCATCATGTCATCAAAAAATTAATTTAGTTTAGTTAGTTCCGGTAATTTCGATGTCAAAGAAACACCAAGTTTTGCTGTGTTTGGCGGGACTGGCAAGGTATCATCTACTACGAGCTGCTCCCCTATGGAAAAATGCCCAATTCGGCCCTCTACTGCTCACAAATGGACCGCTTGAAGGCAGCACTCATCCAGAAGAGACCATCTTTAATCAACAGAGGCCGAATTGTGTTCCATTAGGACAACGCCAGGCTACATACGTCTTTGGTGATGCGCAAGAAGATCCAGGAGCTCGGATGGGAGGTCCTAATGCACCCAACTTATAGTCCGGACCAAGTGATTATCATCTTTTCCTCACCATGGTGAACGCGCTTAATGGTGCAAAGCTGGCCTCAAGAGAGGCCAGTGAAAATTGGCTTTTCTAGTTTTTTGCCAATAGGGAAACAGCCTTCTATGAGAGGGGTATAATAAAGTTGGCATCTCGTTGGCAACAAAACAGCGAATATTTGACTTAAATCGGACAAATGTACACAAAGTTATCATATTTTGAAAAATCAATAAAAAACCGAATATATCTAATATATAATTAGTGCTTTGTAACCTGACCTAACTGAAGCGATTTTCGAGGTATTATATAGTGACCCATTGCACGCTGCACAGATGTTGGGCATGTCGGGTTGATGTGGGCATATATAGAATTAAAGTCTATTACAAAATTTAGACCTTTGTTTTGCTATAATCATAGAAGTCTCATGGTTGAGGTTAAACTGTTCATCATTCACCGAAGGAGTGCTGATAAAGTTGTTGAGAAAGTTATTGGTAAGGAATAATTATCTGATAATGACGGGTAAAAACTAAGAACAACCCAAAGGTAGAAGGTAATGAAGAAGAACGAAATACGGATGAATTCATCCACACGGACGAGCAGCAAAATATTCGACATCATAAAATATTCTACAAAAAAGCGAATACAATAATAACACTGAGGTTGCATGTCACTACGGCCCACGTCGAGTGTCCCGCTAAATTACGGGTAAAGACAACACACGAAAGTTTATGCGCCCTGCTACAGGGGGCGATAAATGTGGAATAATTACGAGGAACGAAAAAACACAGTTAATTAATTAACCGCTAACTAATTAGTTAATCAGCTGAATGCACATAACTTTAGTTTAAATATGCTGAGCCATAAATATTTTGTTCGTCATTAAATTTTAAAACAATTTGTTGTTTTTTTTCTCATATTTTTATCTTAGTAAGTAATCAAAAAGTAATTATAGATAAGTTTTCATTAAGACTTATGGCATTTCAGTAATTATTTAAAATTTTTATTTTAAAATCTGTTAATACTACTTTTGAATAATTAAGTCTTATATAGCTTTCTCTGTCACCCAAAATAATACTGCTAGACAGATTACGATTTTCCGCTAGCCCCAGGGTTGTAGTGACGATTACTTTTGCTTAACGGTTTTGAAGGTAGTTTTACTTTTGCAAAACGTCTGAAAAAATACCTCGAGTATAAGCAATCGATGTCTATGCTTTCTTCTCTTCTGAGAGAGCTGCGGTTTGGGAACCTCAAAAAATTTTGCTGTACATCGATTTTAGATTTATATGGCAGCATTTCTCCACGGGCTGGCAATAGTCGATATGTCCATATATTATTTATAAATGTACCAGCAGACCTGGCCATACATTGTTGCAAAAGCCAGTAAGAAAATTCAAATTAAGCTTCATCGAAGTCAAAATACTAAGTTTTTTATTATATTACTGATCTACTACTTCTTTGTATGTGCTTGTGAATGCTTTGTTTTCAACTTTAACTATGCCCTTCAAATGTTTTAATCTCTTCTAGAAATGTGAGCCAAACGTTCCATTGGAGTATCGTAAATTTAGTGTTGATCCGCAAACCTCAACACTGGAAGCATTACTTAGTATTCATTACTAGCTAAAGGATTCGATATCAAATCGGATTTCGCCATTAAATTTAAAGCTTTTGATCTGATGAAATGTACTTATCCGTATTATCTGATGGGGATTTGGATGCTGCTACATAATCTCTTCATGCAAACTGCAACCGAACCGTGGTTAAGCCGACATTAAACCATTCACTGAGGTGAGGGAATGGAATGCTGCAGCTACAATGAGTTTAACGCATGCTGGTAGTGTTAGCGGCGGCCCAAGTGTCAGTGCCAAAAGCAATATTCCCACGCATGCTTATTATACAAGAATAGCTTATAAGAATAGCTTGCTCACAGATGCAGAATAAGAGCAAGACGAAATCATTCTATTATTTGTCAATCTGTCGGTGATCTCCCTACCTTAAAGAAGGCATTATTTATATTTTGACCAATAGAACTTAGTTCCAAGCCACTGTTATCGTTCCAAGAAACAAAAGTATTCCATTTAGGCATATCATTTAAAATTTCTACTAAATAAACAGTTCGGTCCATGCACCTGTATGTGATACCCCGATTGTTGTAGCTCTTCAATTGCACCCACAGCAAAGTTTAGACAAGCTTTTTCATACATACATAAAAACACTTATCAACATAGCTTAGTTTAGTTCATTCGCATAATTCAGATTTGCATTTTAAATCATGTAAATTGCATCAAATAAAATCTACAAATACACACAAAGAGTGGTTAATTAATGTTTTGACAACCAGGTAACGGAGGCGATCCTCTCCTACGGGTGTTGTTCTCTTCGTAAACCTGATAAAATTGGAAGAGACTCTCTCAAATTACGCAAATTAAGTAAACAAGAGAAGAAATGAGTGGAAAGACAGCTCACTATAGATACTGCCGTTGTGCACATACAAATGTGAATGCATACATACATACATATACGCTGCAGAGCGAATGTAGACTAGTATGCAAAAATACTAGTTAAATGCTAGTATTTTGAAGATGAAATCATACCAGTTTGTTATATGTATGCAGTACCACCACAGCGTGTTGTTGTTATAGCTACCACGCCATGGCTTCGTTTTACTGCCGATGCGCTCGGTTAAAATGTGCAGATATCTTAACTCTCTATATCATAATGATGGAATTGTTGTTATTGTTATAACTGCAAAAATATTCCCCAAAGTACTCTTTGGGGAATGTTGCGGGAGTGACAGTCCTTGGCCGGATAAATATCTGGGTAGTTCCGGTATAAAGACCCGACTGTCGCAGGAACTATTGGATTTTAGTCGCCTCTTACGACAGGCATGCCTTACAGCGGGTAAATTCTTGAACCCCTAACCCGCAGGGGGTAATGATGGAATTGTGGTTAGAAGTTGTCACCGTAGCGCCAGAAGGAGAAAATATAGGCATATCCAAATTTAAGCGAACCGGGTCAAAATGATGGGTTGAGTTGAGTTAATTTAGCAACGTATTTAAAGATTTCAACCAAACTTGATATATAGAGGGACTAGCACATTTCAACAATCATTTGTTGGGACCGGCCAGATCGGTCCACCATAGCAAATATACGACAAATTTTTAGCTAAAGAAATATTGGGTCATAAATTTGCCAAAAAAGCATAAATTTTTCTTATTTTTTGTCGACTAATCCAGCGTTAGCCACCTCCTGTTCAGCCGACAGAGAGGCGCACACGAAGGATAACCGAAAAATCGATCGAAGTAAGTGACAGTCCGGATAGCACGGAGCTCGAGCCCGATCGCGGAAGGTTACAGTTACATTAGATGTTTATGGAACCATTATTCCAGCATTGATTTGTTTGTTTTTTTTTTGTATCAAAACCTCCTTACTTGAGCTTTTTCATTATTAAATAATTTCCGACTCCTCGTGTCAAGTAGTTTATAGCAGCTGATGAGCAAATCTGTCGTTTTTTTTTTAGTGTAAAAGGCAAGTTTTTGGCTGAAATTCAACTGGGAACGTTGTTTTAGCTCACAATTTCCGGTCATAGACCAAATGTCCTCTGGGTACGCAACAAACATCCCTTTAGAAGCGAATTCCTTGTTAAAAAATTTACTCCAATGAAAAATCAATGCACCCGGCTCTGCGTATCAACGAACGCCCGTCAATGGCTGGCGAACACGAAGTCCCAATCTATGATGATGGAAAGGACGTCCAATTAATCCACTATCACGAGCTTCGAATAGCTTAAAGAAAACAAAAGACTGAGGCTGTTGGCTTACCGGCAGAGCTATTTAAACAAAGCGGAGCAGTGCTGCCAAGCTGCATGCATCAGCTCCTTTGCATAATATGGTGGCATTAAAGCATGCCCGACGATAAAAAGCTGTCCAATCCATAAAAAACGGTTTCCCACAGTCTGCGCCAATTACTGTTACATAAGCCTCCTTAATATCACAATAAAGGCCTAGAGCATGCTGTGTAAAAGGCTCCATTAACAAACTGATTAAACCTTATCAGTGTGGCTTTAGACGAGGTAAGTCAATCATTGACCATATATTCACCATTTGGTAAATCTTGGAAAGGATCCATTAGAAATGAAGCGATATACATCACCTTGTTATCAATTTTAAAGTACAGTTAGGAGCTGCTCAAGTCAGCGCATTTACAACTTGACTCTCGCGTCACTTTTGACAGTCAAAACTTCGTGACTAAAGATAACTTCGTCTATCTTGGAACCAGTATTAACACCAACAAAAATGTCAGCCTCGAAGTCCGGAGTAGAAGCACTCTTGCCCGCACGTGTTACTTTGGACTGAGTAGATAGTTGAAAAGTAAAGTCCTCTCTCGATAAACAGAAACCAAAGATCTTGCAAAATCTTCAAGTCGCTCATAATTTCCGATCGGCTATAGGACGCGGAGGCATGAACGATAACAAAATCTGAATTGTCGGCGTTAGTAGTTTTTGAGACAAAGGTTTCGCATAAGATTTATGGTACTCTACGAGGTGTGAAAGGCGAATACCGTAGCCGATAAAACCACATGAGTTATACGTCGCTACTGATATAGCTCAGGAAACTAAGAAACAGTGGCTACGCTGGCTAGGTCATGTTGTACAGATGGATAAGTTTAATCCAGCTTTAAAAGTTTTCGCTGCAGTATCTGCCGACGGAAGCAGAGGAAGAGGAAGGTCTCCACTGCTGTACTTAGCAATTCCAGTTAGGCACCAATGAGTGAAAAGAAGCAATGAATGGCGCAGTGTTGTTTGTTATGAACTAGTTTAGTGCAAAAATGCAAACCAGTTGGATACTAGTTAGTAAATCGTACTTTTCCCTCCTTGGACTACACTTGCGTATGCATATAATTGTGTCGTCTATAAACGTATATACATATGTACAGATATGTTAGCAGGCCAATTTTGCATTTATTCGGTTGACAATAGGTACACAAAGCTCAATAATACATACCTAAGTACATATATATAATACATACATCCATATGTACGAGTATATAGTATGCCAAATATAAGTCGTTGATATACAGACCCACACACACACACTCAAAAAAAACTGTGTATAATGAGGAGTAGAGCAATTTTGCAATTTAAGCGCCAAACTCAGAATGCCAACAAATTACATGAATATCAAATGACACAGCCATAACACACAGCGTATAACGGAAGAGCCGGTCAGACAAATAATGCACATCCATACAATAAATACATATTTAAATATGTGGATAAATCGTTGAGCGCAATCTTATGAATGGATCGAGCGTGGTTTTGTGGAAATTTTTTTTATTTAGAAAAATTACACATACATACACACATTTAAGTATATACTGTATGTACACGTATGTCTGTTTGTGGAGAAACGCATCATCCACTTAATTTCTATTATTATTAACATTCTCTTTTTATAAATTAAATATTTGGGACACACTTGACTTGAATTGAAAAAATACCTCAAATTTAAATGCCATTTATCTGCTTAACAAAGATATTTATGTACTTATCTACATGTATTTATGTATGTGTGCACTTGTGCTGTACTCATATTAATTTACGACACTCATTTCAAAAATTACCTTCATCTAAATCTCGATCTGGATAGCTCCAGTGCGATGAAGCCTCTGTTCGCTGAAGGCCCGAAAACAGAAAAATTGCTGCAAATAAATAAATATAAAAATAAAATTAAATAAATATAAAATTAAAATTAAAGAAATATAAAAATTAATTTAAATAAATGTGAAATTTCAGATTAAAATATTTCAGCCTAAAAATTTATGTGCGGAAATGTCTTTTTGCTATGTTGAAGAAATACAAAAAAAAATATGCATACATATATATGTACATGTATAGCTGGCATACACTTGCATTACCTAGAAATACTATACGAAACATTCAGCGATTTTTCACCTTTCATAATTTGAGTGAAAATTACTTTTAATTGCCACTTTAAATGAAATAAAAATTGCCAAAAAACTTGCAATAAACATACACGCGGGTGTATGTAGCTGTTAATTGAAGCGCGACGACAACGTCGACGATTGCAACTGAGTACCACTTCCGTGTCACAACGGTATACCAATAACGTCAGTCAGTCAGTCAGTCGGCCGCGCAACTCGGCCAAGCGAGCCAGCCAAGCAACAAGCAAGCGAACGAACAAACTGTTGTCTAAGCGAGCGTCGGGAGGCAAGCCATCCACAGCTTTGTGCAACATTTGCACAAAAATACATACATATATATGTATTTATATATATATATATATGATACGTTTGCTTATCTAAGGGGCATTCCAAGGTAGTTTGACTCATTACACATTAAGATGATCTCGTGTCGAAAGATTACACTTAGAGAGCTGGCACTAGTGCAAACTACGAGTCATAGGCTAACAAGGTGGAGAGCTGGTCAGAGCAGTATCCGAAAAGTTGTTTTATAGAATTGTTAAAATTGTTGAAGAAGCTCCGCTGACAATCTTTCAACCGGTTATAAAGTTCCAATTATTTCTTCTACCATTTTTAGCGGGCATAAGCAATGCCTAGGCGATCATAGCCGAGGCACCAATTGCGCCTCAGCACTTTTTTCCTCGCGTTGTTTAGGTAATTTTAGGAATTATGATAAAAATTTGGAAAAAGCAAAAACTTGTTGGAGAACCAACAACACGCGGTGTTCCTAAGCGGTCCCCCATCTAAGTACTAACCGCGCTTGACGCTTCTTAATTTCGGTGATCGGACGGGAAACGATGTATTCAGTGTGGTATGGTCGTCGGCGATTTTACTCTAGACAGCGCTGAATATGTCATTTTCGAGTCAGAATCAGAAGTACCAAGCGAAACCAGGTCCCTCTCTACTCTTATCTTCCCAACCGAGGGGCACTGCATGTCAGCCGGACAAAATATTCTAGCCAGCGTAGTATTGATTCATTGAACCAAGTCGAAGTAAGTCGTATAACTCTTAAACTCATTGTTGGATCCTCTACTGTATTCCTCTTTGCAAATGCGCAAAGGATCGTAAATCTTCCATAAATCATTTCTCTCAAAAACTTCTAGTGCCGATTCATCGGACTTTGTTATCGTCCAGTTTCTGCACCATTTTTGTTCATCGAGGGAGTGGTTTAACTTTCAATTGCTTACTCAGTCCATAATAGAGTGATCCGGATTTTTTGCTGGATTTCAAGGTTCCAAAATTAACTACGGCTCCAAAGTTATGATTGTCAAGATGCTGTCTGTTTGATATTCTCTTTTGTCACTAGATCAAACCAAAAGAAACTATCAGCACAGTTGTTGAGGCCATAGATATCAATATTTTAGGCGTAGATCAGTACCTTCTTCTCTTTTCAGCTCTGCAGCTCGTATACATTTCTCCTGTTATTTTATCACAAGACGGATAGTCTACCTTTCTGAAACCTCATCCTTCCTAATTAGTACTACGCTTTCGGGAGTGCAGCTTACAAAGCCGTCATCCAGACCTTTTCCGAGTTTGGACGTTTGGTTAATCTCCAGCAAATGGTGGATTTACCAAGTCTAAAGTCACAGTGATAGCCTTTCACGGGGAGCTTTAATCTTTCACATAATAATCCAGATAAGAGATTATATACAATATTTAGGAGGCTTATCTCAAGGTAATTGGAGCAGATTTCAGGCTTCTCCTTTTTGCGATAGGGGAGAGCACAAGCACAAGACAGATGCTCTTTGTCAGTACTTCACGGCCACGCTTAAAAAAATTCAAGAAAAGCGATAACTCAAAGACCAAAGGACTTACTGAAAACGAAATGTAATATATGTACTATGTACTTTCAGTCTAAGTTGGGAAGTAAAGTCACTTACATAGTTCAAAATACTGAAAAAATTTATCTGCTACTATCTTGTTAAAGGTTTATGCTCTATTAAGGATAATTATGCTAATAAATAATTACCAAGACCATAGCTCAATACCACCAAGCAGAAAAGTTTAATGAGCTCTATATAATCTACAAAAAAAATCTGTAGTTTGTCTGCAGTCGATCCATTTCTAAAACGGATGGTGTCTAGTGAAAAGTGGATCGCTTAAAACTAAGTCAACCGAAAATGTCGCATTCGAAAGGTGATGAGCGCGAAAGGTATCCAAGCCAGGATTAATGACCAGGAAGATTTTGATGTTTTTTTGGTGAGATTGGCAAGGATCATTCACTATGAACTGCTCCCCTACGACCAAACTCTTAAGGAAGCAATGCCACAGAAGCGCTCAGTTTTGGTCAGCAAGAGAGTAATGTGTTTCAGCGGCACTATACCAGACCACAGACATTTAGAAAGTAACTCGCCACAAGAACCGAGAGCCTGGTTGGGAGGTTCTTATGCACAGACCTTATAGTGCAGACCTCGCACTAAGTGAACTTATTTATGGCAAATGATTTGGCTGGTTATGAATTGGTCCCAAGAGACGCTTAAGAAAATCAAATTCACCAATTTTTCGCCAAAAAAAAGGTTTCTACGAGAGAGACATTAGCTTCAAAAATGGCAAAAAGTTATCGAGCAAATCGGTGCATATTTCAAATAAATCTGAACATTTTAACAGTGATTAAAAAAAGCCATCAATTCAATGCAAAAATTATGCATGGTTTTTCTACTTGACCCATATTTTCCATTTTGACATTACAACAGTACCAATTATCGACATTCCACTGTACATACAAACATACAAACATACATAATCTCGCGCACTTCTATCAACAACTCGCCTTCGGTCTTTACTAAAATTAGACGTCGCTCTTAGCGAGCAACCTTGCACTTGATCGCCTCGATTCAAATTCATACGTATTTATGTATATATTTATATATATATATATATATATGTACATATGTAGTGGCGCGCCGATGTCTAGCATTTTTTGGTTCATCAATTTATTTTATGTTGCATGCAACTGTGCACCTTCGTGCGAATTGTTAGTATTTTATGTGCCAAGTGCCAGCGTCCCGCGCACTCTCGCTCTATCTCGGTTGCATTAAAGAAAAATTATAATAAAGTAGCGAAATAAGCAATAGAAAATTTTTAAATACAAAAAATTAAAATTATTAGCTAAGAAATAACGGTAAAATATGTAGACATTTCTATTTTCGTATTAATTCATATCCATAAAAAATATATTCCAGCACTTGAGTTTGGAGCCCCGTTGGCGTGGAATCTGCAGCCACTTGACCGCATAATTATTACAATTGCAAAGACTTCTTGCCTGAAATGCATGAAATTGAAATTACAAGAAAAAATTTAAATATTTGAAATGCACAATAAATCAGCAACAAAGTTTTTGAAACTAATATTAATTTGAAGCAATTGAGGGGTTATTGCATATATACGTATATACATATATATTATGTGAAACTAAAATTCTGAATTTTCTCTCACTAATTTCTCAATGAGATTGCACTTGTTGAAAACTATTAATTTGTAAATATGTATGTAAGCAAATGTGTTACGTGTGTAATGAATTTTTCGGTGTTTAGCGTGTCATCATCAAGTTGTCAAAATGTCCAAACGTGACAGCGTAATTAAGCGCTAAACACTTTACAGTGGACAGAAGACAAACGGTTGGCCTTTGATTAACTAAATTTTGTTATGAACTTGAAATTTACTTTGTAAAACATATTTTTGCTTTCAAGAGAAGTTACAACAAAAACAAAAAAAGGAGGCGTAGCTGAGGATGGAGATGCCACTAATTGTTGGTTTAATTGCAAAATTTAGATGTGTCGGAGGTGTACAAGCGATTTTTTTTTCATAGTGTTAAACAGTCTGCTCTACTCCACTCTTTTTCTTTATTGGCATAGGCACCACTTACCCATTCCGCGAATCAATAATAGCGCGTCTTTCATCCCTTCTTTTCGCTGTTTGGAGCTAATTGGATTTACCAAATGATGCCAGAGCACTCTCAATCTGATCCTTCCTCTTCCTTCCATGGGCAAGTACTACATCGAAAGTTTCTAAAGAATTCTTATCCATTTGGAACACAAGACCTAGCCAGTGCAACCGTTGTTTCTTGATTCGCTGAACTACGTATGTCCATGTCGCCATATTTCTCGTACAGCTCATCGTTCCATCGGCCAATTCGCGAACTTTTCAACATATCGAACCGACGGCAGAGAAGAAGGTTTTAGCCATACACGCCTTTTATGAGCTCCTGGAGCATCATCATGCGCGCTGCCCCCGCCACGATGTGAAAATCGTGCCGTTTAATGCCAGGGTGGACAAAGTAACTTTAGTACAACTGTTGGAAAATTCAGCCTCCACAACGAAACATCCCCTACTAGTTTGAGGCTAATCGACTTCGCCGGGGCCCGAATTATGGTTGTCTGTAGAAACAGATGCAGCTACTTTGCAGAATATGCGTAGTGTGTGAAAGTCTAAACTAAAGTCCATCGTCAACAAACTGATTGGACGTGAACAGGGGAAGGACAACCATCACCTCTACGTCGATTCTATTTCCACCTTCGACAGCACGAATAGGAGCTGCCTTGACGCCGCAATGTCTGAATTTTTTATACCCGAAAGACTTATACGGCTATGTAAACTGACGTTAAGCAACACTAAAGGCTCTGTCAGATGCGGGAAGGATCTCTTCGGGTCCTTCGATACCTGACGAGGTTTCGGGCAAGTTGATTCCTTATCGTGTGACTTTTTTTAATTTATTGCTA